TCAGCTGCTGCTGTGCTGGTGCTCCTTGCTGCATCACTGGGAACTGGGAAACAACCAGTTGCTGAGCCGTTTGTTGCGCAGCTGGAAACTGGGATACCACCACCAGAAGGTGGGGCCGGCCACGGGAACGGTTATAGCCACTGCCAAGTGGCAAAGCAGTAACAGGCTGCGATGGCTCGGAGACCATCTGCAAAGGAGTGGTGGGCAACGGCCTCCTGGTCTAACCTTAGAGCCTTCCTGTGCTACACCTGCCCACACGGGGCTCCCCCAGCACAGACTGTCCTGTGGTCCCAAATCCCGTTCTCCCATTTTTACCGATTCAAACCTTTCCCCAGGACAGGAAGATTTACTGGCCCTTTGCTTCCACTGTTAAATATGCTTTAGCAGAGATCTGTGCTGCTATAAACACCTCAGTTAAGCACGCAAGCCTGTCATTTAGACACATCCCGTCTAACACATCATGTGTTCACAGGCCGCCTTATCACCGCAGTCTACCACAAAACCAGACCTGAATCCTACCGTTGCAGAGGCATGCCAGGCTTCTTGTGCCACAACAAGAGCAGAAGAGAAACTGTACCCCTCTGCTCATCATTTGAGCATTGACCTCAAGACCCTGAAACACTTGGAGCTGTAAAATCTTAACCAGCACTGCCTATTTTATGTTCGCACATGACAAAACTATCTCAAGGCCTTCCACATCGACAGTTAAAAATGCCAGCCTTGCCTAGCAAAAAGCCTTGCTAGAAAACTGGAGACGCATTGGAAAATGCCTAAAACCTGCAGCTATCCCCCCCCAAAAAGAGGGGCCTTGCCGCAAAGATACAGCCTTGCGGGCCTCTAGCACAGGAAGCATGCAACAAACCCGGCCGTGCACACCTACCTGCTGAGCTTGCATCATCTGCTGCTGCTGCTGGTAATAAGCCGCCTGTTGCTGCTGCTGCTGCTGCTGTTGCAGAAGCTGCTGCTTCAAGAAAAGCTGCTGTTGATGCTGAGGCGTGGCTTGAGGCTGAGTAGAAGGGACCTGGGGCTGCGCCTGCGAGGCCTGCTGCGGAGCTGGCACCTGCTTGGCTTGTGGCTGCGCCGGAGTCTGTTGAGGGGCTGCTTTTTGCTGCGGGACGCTTGCAGGGAGCGAAGGCTGACCACTGCCCAGGGCAGCAGGTCCTGCAACTGGGAGGGAAAAAAAAAACAACAAAACAAACAAACCAACCAACCAAACCAGATCAGTTGGATCAATGTGCACCATGGCCCTGCAGTACACGGTGCCCGGCAGGAAGGCACCGCACAGGGAGGGTCGTTTCACCTTGTGGCTGAATGGCTGCTTGAGCTGTGGGTCTCTTCCTCGGTGTCAGGGCTGGCTGAATGGGTAAAATTCCAGGGTTGGGCTGTGTCTGTCCTGCTTTAGGTCTCTGGCGGGGCGCTATGGACGTTTCTGTCGTAGGGATGGGATCTGTCAGCCTACAACATAAGGTAAGGAATAAAGAGGAAGAGCAGTAAGAGCACCGTCTTTGTTAGCCTGCTAGTTGGTGCAGGCACCACACAGGAGGGGTTTAAAACCTCATCCACACTTCAGCAGTACGTGACTCATAAAGGCGAAACACTTGTGGGCATCCAGACACACATCGACTCTTTCCAGAAAACTTCAAGCCCAGTAAAACTTAACGGATGCATTCACGATAATTAATCCAACACTATCATTTTGACTTCTTTGCCAATTGTGCTATCTTCTCCTGTTGGACAGCTGGAACTTGTCAAAACCACTCAATTCCTTTGAATATTTGCTGCAACACATTGTTTAAATCCACTCAGAGTTCTGGCTGAGCAGATGAAGGACATAACGAGTTAGCTTAAGAGCAGCTGGCACCTTTGGGTAGAGTTGTCTAAACTGCCATCTTAAAAAGTGCCTTAACTTTTTAGTACATCTACCCCAGAATCAGCTCATTGGACCTCTTTGGATCTCTGCTCAATATTTACCGAGCTCCAAAAATGCACAGCAACAGAGCCAAGCAGCCAGACAACCAACCCTGCCCTTCTGTGGATACATTTGCTTGTTAGATATCAAGTTGTTCCACTAATGGGAGAGTAACTGCACTCAATTATAAAATAAACAAAGCAGACTCCTGGGACTGACAGACAGGAGGAGAGATGCCCTATTTCAGAGTTGGAAGAAAACTGCTGGGTTTGGAGTACCCACTGCTGTACTGCTCAGTTTGCAGTAAAACAAGGTACAAGTTTTGTCCAACAGGATTTGCAAGTCTCAATGACAGGATCATAAGCAGAGCAAGCAGCAGCAGGAGAGGAGAAAAGCCACAGCAGTACAGCGGTTTCCCCACTAATTGGGCTCTTCAGATGGAGGCTGCTTGGGCTTTCGTGTTCCCCCCAGAAAAAATTACAGGACGCTTGCACAGATCGCAGCAATTTCATGCAGTAATTACTGGGTCAGGTTATCATCTGCCGGGGGTCAAGCTCCAACAGCAACAGTCCCCGATGCGGTTTCTCGGCAGACTCGCGTTCTTTGGGCCAATTCCAGGCCCGCCGCAGTCTTTCTCCTGACTTTGCTCCCAGGTACTCCGGGTACTGCCTCCGGATGGATGACCCGCTAGATTCATCTAAGCGCCCGAACTGCGAGCGCTGCTGTCAAGCAATGTCTTCAGCACAAAAAGCCTCGATGTTGAGTCATGCTGAGTATTGCCCAAGCGCCACCCCCACCCCCGCTGCAGAAAAATTTCCCCTAATATCTGCATTTTCTGCCTTTCAGATCAAGGAGATCAATGGCTATTTATGTCGCTGAAGCAGAGGCCTCAGGACTGCAGTGTTTGCCTCCATGTGTAAATGCAAGACCACAAGAAAGCAGCTAAATATACCGAGCACCTTTCCTAGTAAACAGCAGAAAGACAACAGACAATAAAAAGAGAGAGGGCTGAGCATAACGCAGATGTGGTTACCTGGCCTTGGGCTGACTCTTCTTTGCAGCAGCTTCACTTGCTTTAACCGGGTCTGGGAGTTTAGTGGGGATTGGAGAGTTCTGCAGATCCCAAAAACACGGAATTTTGTATTTTGAGGGCAGAAATCAGAGTCAGAAATAATTTGCAAAAGCATCACAACAAAACGGGGAGATTGGAGGATACTCAAAGCAGTTATTCCTTATGCTAGACACGGGACAAACCCGTCGACATCAGTATCATGAAGACACAGTAGTTTGGGAGAGTCTTTACAAAGGAAAAATACAGGTCAGCTTTTTGACCATTTACTACATGTGGAATCTCAACACAAAGCTTCATAGCACACCTGGGTATTTTTAAAAGACCATCTGTGGACAACAGCAGCAATACTTACTAATGATGCTGTTAAAAATACAGGCATAACAGTACCAAAACCATGTCTCATTCATAAGGAACACAAATAATCACTTGAACATGGGGAAAAAAACCCCAGGTTTCTTCTTACCTGGATACAACACAATAAAGTGTCATGTCACAGATGTCCATGACACCAAAAGAAAATACTTGTCAACTCTTATTTTTCAGTTGAAGACTATAAAGATAGACCGAGAAGGGGCAGATGGTTGTGTAAGGTCTGATGCAGTTCAAATGCAAGTTGGCTCGTCCCGGCCAGACGGCAGACACAAAACTGCTACGTTTAAAACCAACTGCAGCACAAATCACACACGCTACGACGAGTGTGCCTGGAAATCAAATCCGTTTCACAAGCGTGGCCTAGTTTTACCACGTTCACATGCACAAGATCCCTTGGTTGGCCTCACGCTGGTAACCGGGGGAGGAGGTAAATCAGGGACAAACGGAAACAAACAACATATGAAACAAATCCCTGATTCCTGCCCCAAACAAACTCAAAACTCCAAACAGCGCTGCTAATTATTAAAAAAAAAAGGGAAAGATCCTCCCTAATTACAGAACTGGGAATGACTGATAGAATATAGCGGAATGCTCAATATTTACCAGTTCCCCCCCCCCGCAGTGTCCTCCCACAAAGCCCCACATCAGTCCGCTCCTTCGCGACTCACCTGGACGTTCTGGACTGGGCATTCCTTCTTTGCCAGTTTGAACGCAAAGTAGGAGACCTGATAAATGTCAGGTCTCTTATCAGGGTCTGGCTCAAGCATATATCCTTCAAAAGACAGAGATGCTGGTATCAGAGCATTAGAACAGACCGACGTGGCAGAGCTACATTTGGGATAACTGGGTGCTAAGAGGGTGCCCTGCCTCTTCCAAAGCACCCGGGCAGCGGGGCTGAGCTGATCAGCAGGGTCAGAGAGAACGGGGCAAGACAGAGAGTCAGGGTGGACCTAGGAGATATTTTCCAACACAGCTACGAACAAGCTGTAGCTGCTACCGAAGGCTCTAGGGCGAGGAGGGGAAGCGCAGCCTGCCTGGTTAGGGAATAGCATTGGCTTTGTCAAAGCGAATCTGCAGGAAAAGAGGTTGATCCAGCCCCGGTGCGTCAGCGGGGCAGGAGGACAGGCCAGCCACATATACCACCATGTAAGCAAAGAAAATACAGGCTGCTCTGCAAACACATCCAGCTCTGTGCTAGTTAAGATTGTGGCTAAGGGAAAAAAAAAAAATAATCAAACGCTGTGCTGAAAACAAGAGAGCTGCCCCAGCTTTGCCAAGAGTAGTGCATTGTACCCTTAATTACACATTCACTCTAGTCAGGGAGTTATTTATAAATCATTTCAGTTCTGTTTCTCATTCACAGAAGATGAATTCTTATCGCTAGTCTAAGTCACTGTGGTTCTTTTCAGTTCCTTATCCAAATAGATTTATTACTTGAGAAATACGTTTCTGCATAAATAGGCTTATTGTGCAAGTTTCTGTAGGCCTCTTAAACCAAACGGCTGTCCGTGTTCCTGCTTTCCACAGAGTTCACTACAGCCTAGCCAAACAGCAACCTCTTCACCGTAATTTCTTTTGAAGAGTGATCTCCTAAGCTACCAAAAGATCACTTTATCCACCCCTGGTGCAAGAAAGTCTCCTTTAAAAAATAAAAAAAAAAAGAGAGAGAGAAACACCAACTGTTTTACTGTAGGAACAGGGAACGTAAGAACAAAACATCTTTGCTACTTCTTTAGTTCTGCGGCAGTAGATTATGGCACTGCCAGGGACACTCACGGATGAGGCAGTGCATGTCTTGCGAGTGCCGAGAATTATCCGGAATGGTGAAATTGCCATCACAGATCGCCACCTGACTCTCCCCAAACGGCAAGGTGAAGTAACACAGCTTGTACAGCAAACAGCCGAGGGCCTGGAAGGAGAGAACAGGGCAAAGGCTTTAACAAACCGAAGGGAATGGCACAGTTCAAATACCGCTGCAGACACCGGGGAAAGCGCTCTGGCTTGTTCCACTGGATGGGTCCCGCGTGACGCCAGGCCTACGTTTGAACATCCCTGGGATCGACTCGAAAACAAGCCCAGCTATATGGGAAGATAAACGCACGAAGAGCTCTCCCTCGCTAGGCTGAGATACTCCACGTAGTCTGGGGGATCGCGTGAGCATCATCACGTACCCACCCCTCCAGCTCCACATAGTGTAACCCTTCATGTCAGCAAACAGGCAAAGCCTCTTTCCACCACATACTGGAAGGAAAAAGCAAAGTAATAGCAAAAATAAATGGTAATCATCATCCTTACACATTTATTCTGACAAAGAAAAATCCAAACTGTTTCCAAGCTGAAGCTCAAACAATCTTTCAACTGTCATAAATATGTACCAGGGAGAGACATACAGCTAAGTCTGCAGGCTGCTGGGTTCTATCACCCTTCCATCTATTCCTGCGCTGCTTTTGACAGCAAGAAGCACCACCTATTTCAAAAGAAAATACAACTTCTGCACAAAGGGCTCATTATGAAACACTCCCACCATCTCAGAGGGGAGAGGGGGAAGCGTTTCCTAATCCTAAGCAACTCCTCATCAGCTTGTATCTTTTGTCATAGGATTTCACAATTAAATTGCACTCTAGTTTAAAATAACCTTGATAAGATTTAAGGAAAGGGAGGCAAGACAAGCACTGCAGGAGGCCTTGAAGTCGAGGCCCCACTGTGTGCACCACCACACACTCGTTTGGAAACGCTCAGCGGGTCACTAGAACAGAATTCCTTCCATGCCGGGAAGAGCAGAGCTGTTGGAGCCTTCGGGCCTCCACCTTTCCACATTATCATCACAGGAAGGACTGCAAATCCCAGGTTCTCCTCTGGATGCCTTCAAGGCCCTGACAATCTGTTCATGCTGTTACAGCTGTGACCTTCCCTCTCGGGGTCTCTAACACCAAGGCGAGTGACCCAGCAC